GGGTGGGAGGGAGGAGGGTACCCTGGGTCGCGACGCGGGGCGGTTGCGAGGGTGTTCCAATATGGCCTCCACACAGTGACTGGACTGTGTGGCAGTCTGGGGGGAGACGACAGCACCACAAAGACCTGTCTGTCTTCCTCTACACCCAGAGTCTGAGTGTCATCGTGGGAGACACTGAGAGAAAGAAAGGGATGGATGGTGAGGGGTGAGAGATGGAGGGGAAGATTGGAGGGGGATGTTGTCGTCAGTCCCGTTTCATTTGACTGGGACGGGACGGTCGGGCGTAGTTCAGCAGGCAGGAAGGACTCGGGTCATCGGGGGATGCTGACAGAGATGCTTCAGGGAGTTGGAGGACAGTCACACAGATCAGTGCCAGAGTTGGCTCAGCAGAGAATTAGACCCAAGAGTCGAGTTACATGATTTACTCGAGGACCATGGGCAACGTTCACTGGCATGTTCGGATATTTCCTTTTAGAGACGGTTAATAACAATCGATTGGACAGACGATGGATTCTACAGTGATGGTGCGTTCTGTCATCTGTGCTTTATGTATTTTTTGTTCTTTGTTATTGACGTTTATGATTCACTTCCATATAACTAACATATACATATCTTCTGTTGCGTTCTCAGACATGATTGTGCCGGTGTGTATGATCTCTTCACCTCTTTATGTGATAAAGTAATTGGTCCCAACATCATATTGGAAATGAGCGAAAACAACAAATCTTTTATCTTTTACCTTATATTTAAGTTCATCCATTTCATGTCAAGACAACTTTAAATTTCTTTCGCAAATGAAATGTTGCACAAACAATGTGTCATATGTCTTTTTAGTTCACTTGTCAATTCTTGGATATTTAACTGATTAGTAGCTGAAACCTTTCAAATTGGGTTGGTCGCTCTGAGAAGCTGCACTGTGCTGCTGTGAGCTACAGAGACATTTTAAACGAGGTTATTCTATAAGCATGCACTATTATAAAAACAGGATGAAGGATCATTTAAACACTGAATGGAAATGATTTGATTCATGTAATGTGCTGGTTTGTTTTAGGTCTCCTTTATGTGAATTTTCTTCATGTTTTTATGCTCTTTTAACTTTTAACTTATTTATTTTTTAAGTACGTTATCTTTGTTTTTATGTGGTAAAACTTTTCGGCAACGACCCCCTTTGTGAAAGAGATTCAGTATCTCAATGGGATTATCCTGGCTAAATAAAGGTTTCATGAATTAATAAATGAATAGATGTAATGGTTGCATCGTCTTACATGAAAACATTGCTGCCTGTTCTAAGCAGCCATGTTGTTTCAATCCATTTACTAATGGTATGAAAATCAATAAGCATTGCTAATAACTTGAGCTTCCTTGAGTGCGATCCATCAGAATGAACATCAATCCTGCATCATCTGTCCGTTTCATATTATTGTTGTGTGATAATGCAACTTAAATGTGGAATTATTTGAAAAGACTGCATGGCATTGGATTGTTACGATAATGTAACTTTGATAAAAACAGAATGAATGCAGACTTGATGGTCGTTGTGCACGTTTTAAAGGGTCTGCCAATAGATTTTTACATCATATGGAAAGTAATGGGAGCCAATGGGACAAACACATGAATTATCTCTGAAACACATTAGCCTGGTATGTGAACTAGTTAGCTGTAATGTGATTCGTAGTAAACAGCTTAGCGAAGATCACAACGACATGATTATAACTGTATCATCCTTTTCCTCTCTCCTTCTCCTCCAGTCCAACTCCTGAAGTCCACGGATCTCGGCCGCCACAGTCTGCTCTACCTGAAAGAGATCGGGAATGGCTGGTTCGGGAAGGTAAGCCCACTTCTGACGCCTTCATATCTTCATAACCTCCCGCCGGTGGTTTTGACAGACGCTCCTGCTGTCCCTGCTGTCCCTGCTGTCCCTGCTGTCCCTGCTGTCCCTGCAGCTCCCTGCAGCTCCCTGCAGCTCCCTGCCAGGTAGATGAAACGCAGCCCCAGTGAGCCTCACATCACGGCTGTTAGACTTTGCTGTGATCCCAGACGTGTGTTTAGGATGAAGTCAGTCAAAAAAAAATGTCCGACACGCTGAGTTAACCTGTAACGTCTCAGTGTGTATTGCCAACCTGATCCCCGGGCCTTTGATGTCGGCCTGTCCGAGAAGTGCAAGACTTAAAGGACGAATTTAAGCTGGTAAAAGTGATGACACTGCAGGCTGATCATTGTGTTCATCTCGTGTTTTTACAACCAGATAACATGTTGTTGTCGTTCTCTCTTGTTCTCTCCCTTCTCTCTGTTTCTCCTCCTCTTCCAACTCAAACTGTTCACTCATGACTATACATGCGTCCTCTCCATCCTTGTGTACCTTCACTGGGTATGTCCATCTGTACGTGTGTTTGTCTGCATTTTTCTGTCTCTGCACCATCTTTTGGATTCTCTCCCCTAAAACTCCTGCATGACTGCTTGACGTCTCTTCTGTTTGTCTTTGTGTAACGGTCACTTCCACTCCATGCTCCAATGGGTTTGTCTGTGTGTAAAATGTCTGTTTGTCTGTCCATCTGTCTTCCCCGTGCGTATATATGTCTCTTTCTGAACTGTTTCAGGTTCTGCTGGGGGAGGTGAACGCAGGCCTGAACACCACCCAGGTGGTGGTGAAGGAACTCAAAGCCAGCGGCAGCGTTCAGGACCAGATGCACTTCCTGGAGGAAGCGCAGCCTTTCCGGTATTTATTTACTCCTCTCACCTGTCACCCGTCTTTCTGGTTGGATTCCTGTCTGTCTCTGTGTGTCAGTGATGGTAAAGTAACTCATACATACGTTCACTGTCAATTCTGAGGCGGTGGAACTGTGCTAGAGTATTGTCATTTTTCACTTTTTAACTTTCCCTCTGCTACATGTCAGAGGGGATTTTATATATATATATATATATATATATAT